TCTTTAAGATACATAAAAACTTAAAAATATAAAATAAATGATAACAGTTTTATAATTATGAAAAAAATTCAAATACAAAACATTTTATCAAGTAAACAAGTTCAAACTTAGTACTTGAAAAACTCCAAACAATAAACAAAAAAAATAGTCTGTGTAGTCTATACTCTATAGTGTATCACTGTATACTAAAAATATTAAACATTAAACATAAACATTTAAAATACATATTAAATTTCCAAACCCATCTTATTCGCTCTTATAATCATAATTTCGTTCAGCAAATCAGATGATAATGATGAAACAAGACTAAAATAAAATAGATTTTATTTTATCATAGATGGTGACAATATTTGGTTATTAACATTTGACTATTATAGTATTATCAGTTAGTAGTTAGTACGTTTTATTTGGTATGGAATATAGCAGCTGTCGGGCGAGTAGGCACGGTAATAGCACTAATAAGTAATAGATGATTACACAGTTTTGTTCAGTATTACTATTATTACGAACTAATGTAACGAACTTATTATTAAATAATGAATATCAAAACAGTCCCTGATTATAAGTTATAACGTACCTATTACCTAGTACTTGGTACAATAATATCGTACATGCAAGAGTTATATACTATTATATATATATGTATCAGCCCGCATTCGTCGATGTTTCTACAATTCGTATCAGTATTCAGTACCTATATTATAGGTACTGACTACTGAGAATCTTTTGTTAGTGCGCCGTACGATTCCGCAATCAAACACGCTTGTTTTGGTATTTTTAAATTTTAATAATTAGTAGTTCTAAAATAATCTATTTTAGTTTTTTATAAATATTATTTTCTTCTATTTAGAATATTCAATAAAATTTAAAAAAAAAATTTTTACGTTAATTGGTTTGAGATTTACGGTTTTGTATACTTCCGATTAATTAACCGGTTCGAAAAATAAACGGTTACCGTTATAGATTTCCCCCTTTATCAAATTCCATGATTACCGGTAATTGATAACCGCTTCTCAAAATTGAAACTCGAGAACCGGGAAGCGGATACCAGTCCAAAAAGTACTCATGGTAACCGGTTACCGGGAAAAATCGGTTACCGGTTTCAAGCCCTGTATTAAATACATTAACAATGAAGGAAGGGAATAGTTCTTACACATTTAAATGTTCAGTTGCACCTCACTGTGAAGACTACTATGTCATTCAGCACTATAAAATGAATACAATCCAAGATATTCCATCAGATGAAAGGTTAGTAAAAAAAAAAAAAAAAATTATGGTCTATAACATGTTTAAAATAAAAAAATATTAAATAGTGAATTTTCATACTAGATGGAAACATGCGGAAGCTAGTATTAAAATTTATACATCAAGTAGAGATACAAAAGATTCAATAATTTCAAACAAAATCAACGACGTTGTTCGAGAAATATTGGACCGGTTTTCAACAGATCCTAAGAAAAAACTTGTCAAAAATACTAAAAAATAAAATAATCATAATTTAAATGTATAATCTGTTTTATTAATATTACAAATTGTAAAAATTTATATTTAATGATTGTTTAATAAAAGTAGTAACATTATAATAAAATAATTAATCTTGTTTCTATTTTTACAATAATATTGATAATTTTTATTAATGGTATAAAGTTTAAAGAGCAAAAAACAAATTAAAACAATAATTAAATCAGTTTTACCCTTATTTTTTTTTATTACAAACCATATATAGTAATAATAATAATATTAATAGTAACAACTGAAAAGTGTTCAAACGATTAATTAACTGACATATAATTACATCATAATTCATAACAATAAATAAATCGTGAAAGATACTTACAGAAATAAATCATAGCACCAGAAACACATGAACGGTTGTTAATATAAAAATTAATAATATAAATAATATATAATTATTAATATAAAAATAATTAATATGCGAGACCGTCAAAGGTCAAACATGCGGTTTAGTCATATACTTTAACACTAACCAAAACTGTTCTATCATGTAGCATGAATACAGAATAACATTACTATAGTCTATGAACATAACGAAAAATTGCATATTATATGAACTATGGAAACAAAATTAGTAATTCATGATAAGATAGTTTAAATTTCGTAAAAAACGGTTGATTACAAGCACGGTTAACAATGATACTGTGGCGGACCAATGCCACATGACCTCCCTCCGCCGTCGGTAGTACCGTATATCTTTGATTTTGTTCAACGGTTGGTCACATTGCGATCGCGTCTAGCGGCGGCCTCCGCTTGGTTGCGGCGGCCGACCTGTCTCTCTCTCGTTTTAACTGTTGCTCCGTACGCACGTCCGCAGGATTTAATTAAAAAATAATAAAATAAACCACGCGCTCATTTTTCGCCGCTCGCGTAGCTCGTTCGTTTTTCTTCCAAAAACGCCGCACGAAAACGCACGTGACCAGCCGCTCACCTCCGAGTACCGATCGACTCGATCTGCTCGCCCTGTTTGTAAAATATAATTGTCTTTTGTAATAAACCGCGCATCGCGCACCTTACACGTATACGCGTAATTGTTTATTTAGTAATCGTTGGTGTTCGGTCGTGATAACGACCCGAACCCCACATTGGTGACCTCTTCAAGTGCAAAGTTTTCCTTTGCGTACACGCACGAATTCGTAACCGCCGTTTCCGCGCTGAGTGTTTCCGCACGTTTTCGCAATACACGCGTCATCGTAGTGCACGTACCCGTCGTACGAGTGGTGATCTTGTTCCGTGTTAACCGTCATGGCCGCCGAAGGAAACGCGCCTAATATCCAGAACGTCGCCGGCAACCTGAACCAAGTCGTTGAGGCCATTGCAAACATGCGGCTTCCGGCATTTTGGAAGCGCTCTCCGACACTTTGGTTCAACTACGCGGAATCTACGTTCGTAACACATCGCGTCACTGCCAACGCGACTAAAGTACATTTCGTCGTCAGCGCTCTAGACGAAGAGGCAGTACGCAACATCGGCGACCTCCTGAACACAGCCGCTCCCTACTCCGACATCCGTACGCGTCTCATCAGCGCCTATGAGGTGCCCAGAGCGCTGCTTTTCCGCGAGATCGTCAAGCCCGGAGGTTTGGGTGACCGCCGACCGTCGCAGCTGCTTCGCGACATGCGTAACAGTATGCCACCTGGCATAGGCGAAGACGCATTGAAAGAATTCTGGCTTCAGAAACTCCCGTCGAACGTGACCGCCATACTCGTCAGCCTCGACGCATCGTTGGACGAACTGGCTGCGCGCGCCGATCGTATTTTGGACGTGTCCAACCCGCAGAGCGTCGATGTTTTGTCCAAGGGGCAATTTAGCGAACTGGCCGACGCAGTATCAGTGTTGTCACAGCAGGTCAAGTCCCTCACTCAAATCGTCAACTCCACGGATAAACCCTCGCGACCTCGATCTCGGGCACCCGCGCGCTCGGACGCGCAGCAACCGGGGAAAATGTGTTTCTACCACACCAGGTTCGGCAAAAGGGCGCGCGCTTGTCAATCGCCGTGCAGTTTCGAACAGGAGTCGCGGGAAAATCCCGCGTCCGCGCCCGCGGAAAACTGAGGAGCGCGCACAGGCCACCCGCCCTGTACGTCGTCAGTAATTCCACGCGGGTACACATCAACGATCAACGTTCCGGCAAGCTGTTCCTCATTGACACGGGCGCTGAAATTTCGGTCATACCGTATAGCTACGGCTCACACCAGCCGTCCGACTTACACCTCACAGCCGCCAACGGAACACGCATCAAAACGTTCGGGCCCAAAACACTTGTGCTCGACCTCGGACTTTCGCGTCCTTTCACATGGACTTTTGAGATGGCTGATGTCTCACGCTCCATCATCGGTGCCGACTTCCTACGCTATTTTGGCCTCCTCGTCGACGTCCGGCAACAACGCCTCGTCGATCCTGCCGACAAGCGAGCAGCCACCTGTGCAGTGACAGCCGCACCGTCGGTACACACCGCCTTGCTCACCGTCGCTCGCTCTCCGGATTGGGATAGATTAGGACTGCGCGGTTATTCTTTGACACAACTGATTATCGATTATAGGTTCTAATCGATTTTACCGGTTAATCGGATATCCGATTAATCAATCGATTATTGAATTAATCGATTTATTAGAAATCGATTATCCCAATAATCGATTAATTCAATAATCGATTACTAAATAATCGATTAATTCAATAATCGATTACTAAATAATCGATTAATTCAATAATTCAACAATCGAACTAAAAACCGATTAATTTAAAAATTAAATAATATGTTAATAAATTATATGGCACTAATCATTCCCTAAAACTGTGTGTACAACGACACACTTTGTGTAGTACATTTAGTGCAGTGTGCAGTACGAAATTTAAAAGTATATTATTCTTATTAAACCTTTTTAATAATATTATGTATAATTTTTATATTTCAATGGTTTTTTGCCAAACCACATTTTAATTATTATCTACATTCTACAAGGACACACAGTAAACAATATTTTATGTTGTTACGTCTTATACTCTTATTATAGTTATTATTATAAACTATTTATTGTTATTGAGAGTAGCTATTTTTACTATTATCAGCTTAGTAGTTAACGGTGGTAGTTATAGTATACTAGTGTTTTAAGTGTTTATCTAGAAATAATTTAGATTTGACCAATTTGGGAGTTTGGGACTATGTGTGTAGTACAAACATTTGGATACTTTAGGGACTGGCCCTAATATAATGGATATTGGATAGTCAGAATTACAATTTTTTATTACTGACTGGTTGTGTACAATGTTCATGACAAATATTTAAAAAAAAAACTTTAACATAGTTTATTAAATAACAATTACATAGGTAATAATTATATTATAACTTATAAGCATAACAAAAACAAATCAAATAAAAAACTGTTAAAACATAATTAATGTCACATATAAAAAAAAAAAAACAAAGAAACTGTTTAAAATATGAGTATAGAACTACCAAAATGATAAATATCATAATATATTACTTATAAAATTGGTATTTTCACATGCTTTTTATTCATGGATATAAATATTAATTGACTGCAGTGTTCTTCAGTGAGTGCTGCCCTTTGGTCATTGACAATATGACCAGCTTTGCTGAAAACCCTTTCTGAAGCAATGCTAGTTGCTTGACAACACAACACTTGTTTTGCTAGGATCGAAAGATATGGAAACATACTACAGTTCAGTGACCACCAAGCAATTGGGTCTCTTTCAAAGGAGACTTTCGGTAGTTCAAAGTATGTGTTTATCTCTCTTTGAATCAGTTGCTCAGTAGTGACTACCTAAACAATAAACATAAATTAAAATATAACATAATATATAATATCAATATATATTAAACTAGAACTAACTTAAATAACCAATTATTAATAGGCAAAGGTGGACATTAACTGATTAACTAGTTAGTTAATTTTCTAATTAACTTATGAACTTAACTAGTTTAACTGACAGTTAAAATAACTTAACTTTCCTCGGTTTATTTAAAAATAATCCATCAAGTTTAACATTTTTTAAATTTTTCTTTTTTATGGTTTCATAAGGAAATATTAATACAAAATAAAAATAAAAACAATCCAATATTATAATAATACAAACATTTCTGTTATTTTTCTTGATAAAATAATTTTGTAAATAGGCATATTTTAACAGATTAGATACTCATAATATTAATTGCTATTTATTAAATTATTAATTGGGATGTGTTAGTATAGTTAAAATATTTAATAATCATTTAAAGAAAAATAGGTACCTACATACACTGTACATTACGTCATTACGTTGAAAGTTTAATAAAATTGTTTATTATAATTTAGCAAATTAGCAAGAACACAGTCTGTCTTTAAAATTATAATTATAAAAAACATAATTACATCCACATAATATTACCTACTAATTAAAAAAAGTAGATTAACTATTTTTATACTGAGATAATTAAATATTATTTTCCACATTAAATGTTAACTTTTAACTTATCAATCTTGTATCCTCTTAACTTACGTTAATTATTTTCATTAACTTGCCCTCCTTTGTTAATAGGTATATTCAATATTGTATAGGCATAACATTATTATTGTAAATAAATAAATGTACACTATTTAGAGTTTAGACAATATAAATTGAAAAACATTGCTATATGAATTATAACTTTAAAAAACATAAGACTTACCCCAGGAGTTAATTGTGGTTCCGTGTCAACATTGAAAATTGCTGAAAAACCAGTCAATTTTCTTTTTGTTGGTGGTTCATTACATCCGCTATTCACATTTGTTTTTAATTTCCAATGAGTCCAAGCCTTTTTACAATTGTCTTCCATAATTTCTTTTATTTCATTATCGGCAATGCCAAACTGAATGTGATGAAATTTAAATCTAGGATCCAATGCAGTCGACAATTTTAATAAATTATTATTTGTGTAACGAGAATTTAGTAAATCAATAACAACTTTCAACAGTTTTTTTTTTAAATCAACATCTATATCATTATCTTCAATTACTACATTATCAGCATCGCATTCATTTAGTTTAGTTTTAATCATACTAATGACAGGAAGTATCGCCGAAGCTGTAACGTATGATTCCCCTGCAAGGTTATCAGATATATTTCTAATAGGCTGAAGCACGTCTATCAGTGTTTTAAGAATTGTCACATCTTGTTCATTAATCATTCGATCTTTAAAACAACCATTATTATAAGTCCTTAAAAATGATGCTAAAGCCGGTTCTTGAGACAGAACAACCAAAATGAGATCCAACATAGACCACCACCTGGTCTTGGAATATGATGGAAATTTCACTTGTTTCAAATCAAATCTTTTTTGTTCAATGGCCATCTCTCGAACTGATTTCCAACTGTAGGCAAATATATTTTGGATTGATTTTATTTTCTCTATAGCAGTATTCACTTGTTCTAATTTAAAAACATTTTTAACTGCAGTATTAAAACTGTGGCCAAAGCAAGGTATATGAGGAACATCAAGGTTTTTAACAGCTTTCAATATATTAGCTCCATAGTCAGTTGTAATTGCTCCAATACATATGTCAATATCTTTATTATACTCCAGTAACATTAATTGCAATGCATCAGATAAATTTTCACTTGTATGATTTTCTATTAATTCTTGACACCCCAAACAAACATTATCCAATTTAAATTCGGCATTCAAATAATGGCATGTTACAGCCATAAAAGGTTTGTTTGATACCGATGTCCAACAATCAGTGGTAAGTGAAAAGCATGACAGATTTGTTAATATATTCTCAACTACCATTTTGGTTTCTTTATACAAATCTGGTATTCTTCTATCTGTCAATGTCCTCCTACTTGGCAATTTATAACTAGGACACAAAGCTCGTGTATAAAGCTGGAACCCTTCCCTATCAACGACATTATATGGCATCATATCAATTGCTATAGTATAGGCAAGTATTTTGTCCAATTTTAATTTAGTAGCTTGACTAGTGGTAAACATTTTCATTGAAGTTTGTTTATTAAAGATTGTATCAGAAAGAGGTTCTAAAGCTGGTAACACTTGAGATGTCATTGAACTATAAGTTGATGACGTTGACGCTATTAATGTTGAAGCTGTTGATGAAAGTGTTCTAAAACAAATGTATAAAAAAAACATTAAATAATTTCTATATTCAATTTAAATTCAAAATAGGTAATATAATCAAACTAAAAATGAAAATAATATAATATTTGAAATAAAAAAATGTGATTATAGGTAATTTGTTAATAATTATTTACAGTGTTTTAAAATTTATAAAAATATAAACAAGTTGAAATGAAATGAAATAAAATAGTAAAATTTGTAGTGCTAGAGCCTGTAAGTACCTATTAAAACTTAAAAATTAGTGATCAAATACAATCATAAAAAGTGACAACAATAAGAAATACGTTTCCATATAAATTATATAGGTTCTTCATCAATCATCATTATTGTTAATGGAAATTGAATTTCCATCATAGGAATTTCAATTTCTATTATTAGAAATAGTATTTTCTATAAAGGTAAAGAAATTAACATATCCATCAACCAAAAACTAATTAAAAATCATAACCAACATTAATCATATAAAATATAAATACATTTATTTTATAATGTAGGTATTATTGGTAGGAATATTGTTTAAATAATGAAATATTCTGTAGTAGGAAAAATGTTAATTCATTTGCAGTATTAAACATTATTAAATTATTTACCTACCTATTTTTATTAAATATTAAATTTGAATAAGGAAATGTGTAGGTAGGACGTTAGGTACTAGTGTACTACTAATGCAGTACCTAATTACTATTGTCTATACTCTATTATATACCCATTAAATATTTTAGCATTGATTGGAAATTATTGTATGTTTTTAGTACAATTAAATCCGGCCTTTACATAAAAAACTCAATTAGTCAATAATTATGTGTATTATTTATAAGTTACCAATGTAATATTTGTGTTGTATAACGGTTGGCCGTTAGCCGTTAGGTATGAAAAATAAATAAGCAAGTGTTACAAGAACTCTGCCCTAGCTTTTACTAAATTATTAATAAAAGTATGTATTAAAAATTAACTTACCCTGTGTCTTCAAATTCAGACGTATCAAATATATTTTGCACTCCTCTTTTTAACCGATCTAATTCGTTGAATTTTGCCTTATGAAGACCCTTCAAATGATTCCACAAGTTAGTGGTGTTCGTCCCTGCATTTGATATGCTTTTATTGCAAATAGTGCATGTAGCTCTACGGCCACATTCATCTTTGGAGAACGTATCCCACACTTGACTCATAATTAATATTAATAATACGTCTTGTCGTCTTGATTTAATGACAAAATGACAAAGGCGAAAAATGGCGACAAGTAACAAAAGAAACTATAAAAGTTGAAAACATCCAGACGCGTGGTAGCCACTAGCCGCTGGCCGCTGCGCAACCAACCGTTGGCTAGGAAACAATGTTACCAATTCTTAGATAATTAGTTCAACAGTTTAGGTCATACGTAATTATGAAATTCGTATTAATTGATTAAACATAAATAAATTAATGATTATTTTTTTTATCGATTTATCGATTGACCGATTAATCGATATTAATCGATTTAATCGAAATAACAATTAATCGGTGTATTAAGATATTGTAAAATCACCGATATAACCGATTAATTATATGTATAATCGATTAATCGTTATAACCGCGCAGGCCTAGGATAGATTACTCCAGGACTTTCCAAGCGTGACCCGTGAGTCACCCGTACCTGAATCATTCCGACACGGAGTAGAACATGTCATCGAAACCAGAGGACCGCCCCTTTTCGCGCGTCCGCGGCGGCTGCCTCCCGATCGGCTCGACATCGCGCGCCGTGACTTCGAGCTGATGCAAAAACAGGGGATTTGCCGACCTTCATCTAGCGCGTGGGCCAGCCCTCTGCTATTGGTGCCCAAGAAGGACGGGTCTTTCCGCCCATGCGGCGATTACCGCCGGCTGAACAGCGTCACCGTTCCAGACCGGTACCCGCTTCCCTACCTGCAGGACTTCACCGCCAACCTTGCAAAAAAAAACGGTCTTCACTAAGCTCGATCTGGTCCGCGCCTACAACCAAGTCCCGATCGCCGCTGGTGACATCCACAAAACCGCTGTGACAACACCGTTCGGCCTTTTCGAGTTTCCAGTAATGTGTTTCGGCCTGTGTAACGCCGCACAAACCTTCCAAAGACTGGTCAACACTGTTCTCGCCGGCCTCGACTTTGTTTTCGCTTACGTCGACGACGTCCTCATCGCCTCCGCGAACGCCGACCAACACGTCGAACATGTCCGCACCGTACTCGGCCGTTTCGAGGAGTTCGGGATAGCCATCAATCCGGCGAAGTGCGTTTTCGCCGCGAAAACGCTCACCTTTCTCGGACATGTAGTCGATGCGCAGGGCTTGCGCCCTAACCCGGACAGCGTCGACGTTATACGACGGTGGCCGCAACCGAACACCAAAAAAGAACTACAACGTTTTCTCGGATCATTGAATTTTTACCACCGATTCGTCCGAGGCGCCGCCAACGTTCAAGCACCACTGTACGATATTTCCGCGGCAATTAAAAAAAAGGACGGCCCACTCGCATGGACTGACGCCGCCCGGAAGGCGTTCGCGGCCTGCCGAGAGGCACTCGTTACCTCCGCGCTTTTGGTACACCCGCAGCGCGACGCACCGTTGCGCCTCACCACAGACGCTTCCAATATCGCGGTCGGGGCAGTCCTGGAGCAGTCCGTCGGCAATAGATGGCAACCACTCGGGTTTTTTTCACGTAAACTCTCCGGCGCGCAGACACGGTACAGTGCGTACGACCGCGAGCTGCTCGCAGCCTACCTAGCCGCACGACATTTCGTACACGCGATCGAGGGCAGATTCGTCACGCTCCGTACGGATCACCGCCCACTACTGTTCATGTTTTCGCAAAAGGCCGAGAAACTCATCGACCGTCAAGCGCGGCACGTCGCGTTCCTATCACAATACTTCCACGAGGTCGAACACGTCAGCGGCGAACTCAACATCGTCCCCGATGCACTGTCGCGCCTGGAGTTGGCTCCCCTCGATAACGGGCTACCTGACCTGGACCAATGGGCAGCGGACCAAGCCAACGACACCGACCTACAGGACATCCTTGCGGGCAGGACGGAGTCGTCACTTGAATTGGACGCACGGCAGACAGCAAACGGACCGGTCTACTTCGACATAGCCTATAACAGGTCAAGACTTTTCGTTCCGCTTCGACAGCGTCGCGCGGTTTTCAACACCTTACACCGACAGGCGCACGGTGGTGGTTCGGCCACAACTGCGCTTATATCGCGACGTTTCGTGTGGCCTGGTATGAACCGAGAAATACGGCGTTGGGTCAAGACATGCGAGCAGTGCCAGAAATCAAAGGTACATAAACACACCGCGACACCGCTGGCTGCGTTCACGGCCCCGGACCGACGTTTCGGCCACATACATTTGGACCTGGTCGGCCCACTGCCCGTTTCGGACGGCGCCAGGTACCTCCTCACCTGCGTCGACAGATTTACGCGTTGGCCCGAAGCTTGGCCCGTCGACAACATGTCCGCTCACACCGTCGCGTCTACACTAGTAACGAATTGGATCGCCCGTTTCGGGGTACCAGACGTCATCACCACAGATCAAGGGCGACAGTTCGAGTCTGACCTAATGCGCGCGCTCAACTCAACTTTCGGGATCCAGCATGTTCGCACGTCCCCCTACCACCCGCAGGCTAACGGGCTTGTAGAACGTTTTCACAGAACGCTTAAGGCAGCGCTCACTGCGCAAGAGTCACCGCACTGGTCCCAGCGACTGCCAATCGTCCTCTTGGCCTTGCGCAACACAGTCAAACCGGACACCGGCGCAACACCTGCCGAACTCGTTTATGGGGCGACCCTTCGCCTTCCTGGTGAGTTGTTCCACTCCGCGCCCTCAGAGATGAAATCGCCGGACTTCGTCACGGCACTTAAGCTGTCCATGGCCGAGCTTCGACCGTCGCCCGGATCTAATCACGACCCGGCCCGACGTATTTTCGTTCCTACGCAGCTCGACTCCGTCAGCCATGTTTTCGTCCGCGTCGACGCGCAGCGCGCTCCGCTTCAACCGCGTTACGAGGGGCCCTACGCCGTACTGGATCGAAGAGAAAAGGACTTCAAGCTTCAGCTGGGCAACCGGACGTCGTGGGTGTCAGTAGACCGGCTCAAACCTGCCTTCGTCCTCCGCGAGGACCCAGCCCTGGACCACTCGTATGCCATGCAGTCCATGTCCGTACATAGATTTCCGACATCGAAAACACCTACGGTATTTTCTCCTTCGTCGGGGGGGAGTGATGTGGCGGACCAATGCCACATGACCTCCCTCCGCCGTCGGTAGTACCGTATATCTTTGATTTTGTTCAACGGTTGGTCACATTGCGATCGCGTCTAGCGGCGGCCTCCGCTTGGTTGCGGCGGCCGACCTGTCTCTCTCTCGTTTTAACTGTTGCTCCGTACGCACGTCCGCAGGATTTAATTAAAAAATAATAAAATAAACCACGCGCTCATTTTTCGCCGCTCGCGTAGCTCGTTCGTTTTTCTTCCAAAAACGCCGCACGAAAACGCACGTGACCAGCCGCTCACCTCCGAGTACCGATCGACTCGATCTGCTCGCCCTGTTTGTAAAATATAATTGTCTTTTGTAATAAACCGCGCATCGCGCACCTTACACGTATACGCGTAATTGTTTATTTAGTAATCGTTGGTGTTCGGTCGTGATAACGACCCGAACCCCACAATACGAAGAATATGTGATAACGAAGGTTACACTGCTGTCTGATCGCAACTCGTAAACAACCTGCAGCTGGTGATAAAGCAGTCGTAGATTGTAACTACATAACGTTATATTTTAATATCATTTAATATTATATCTGATAAAGAATTATTGTGGAATTGAAGTATTTCATACATAAAACTGAAATCATCGTTCTGTACAAAACAATTGCTAAAATCAAAGTTTTGTATGTACTGGTTTGTAAAATCATTTCGCTGACAAGATAATGGTAAAATATTAATGTTTGCTTTAATTAATGAATACACTGTATCAAAAATTGACTGATATGAAACCAACTTTTTCTGCTTTTCAACAATATACGAATCAATACATTCTTGTAATTCTTTTATCCGATGGAGATCATTATATGATAACGTGATAAATTGGTTATTAACATACAATTTAATAGTAAACTGATTTAAATTAACTGTATAATATATGCTATCTGTTATTTTTATACGTTTACTATTATTAGTATGTAGATTATTAGTTATTGAGCTATAAATTGAATCTGAAATTAGTGTATACCACTGTATTAAATCGATCATTATCATTTTTTTTGTGAAATTACATTGGAGTAATATAATAACAGTAAACATATTTTTATTAACCAAAAATCCAACAGTTACACTTTTCTTGCTAAGAGGTCGTATATCGATTACTGACTTTGAAACAACAATTGGAATCATATTGTACTGCGACGTGTTCTTTTTGATATAGTCGATTTTTTATGATTTTTTTCAAAAAAAAAAAAACGTATAAATGTAAAAAAATGTTTGAACTTCAAAAAACGTGAAATAGAATAACGGATGATCGTTACAACACACATATTTGAAAACTGAGTATATTACTTGAATCCTGTATTATTATATACTAAACTTATTTGTCTGATATCGATATAAAAACTAAAGTGACCATGAAACCAAATCAGATAACGCGTAGAGAGGGGATACTTACTTGAACCGTTGAACCTGTAACTTGAATTTTAAACCTACCTACTATATTGAATTACAACTTGACGCGTTATCCGACTCGACTACAAGTCAACGAGATATAAAATCAATTATTAACGCATTTAAGTTGATTAATACAATATTTATTTATAAATGATTACAAATTATTAAAATATAATTAATTTAAACAAGTAAACTAGTTAATGATAACATATTATGATTTAGACTGATTACAATCACAAACATGTGTAGATTTTACATATTCGTTTTTTACATTTTCTATAAATTCATTACCCTTACAAAGTAAAACAAATATACATTTAGGATTCCATTTTGCATGTTCAACAAACGGAATGTCATCTTTAGTCCATTTTTGTAACACCAGTCCGCAACAAAAACATTCGACTATGTCAGCAGTTCCTGAATACTTAAATCCAGCCTCAGATAACGAATATTTATTTTGACATAAAGTAGATGGAAATGAATTATACGTTTTTAATCTCGA